AGTACGAGGGCCCCCCGATTTTCGACGAGGAGCCGTTCGTGGCGTTCGACGGTCCACCGATTTTTGATGAGAAGCCGGAGAAGATTAGAGAGAAATTTTTGTATGACGTTTTTCATCCACACATTCTTTCTATTTGTGATGTTATTGATGGACTCGTGATTCCGACTGTCAAGTACGAGGTCATTTTGAGATGAGTCTTCAATTCGACTTATATATTCAATTTTACAAAGGATATGGCCCGAATCGTGGTTTTTTTTGGTGCGGCTCCTGTGGGTTTGACGGGATGGTCAAGGAGCCGTATTGGATGCAAGGGCAAGGAAACGGTTTGGTCTCGTCGTCTCGGATTGGAGGGCGAATCCTCCCCAACCGGGGGAGGATGATAGAGAATGATTATTATTATTATTATTATTATTATTATTATTATTATTATTATTATTATTATTATTATTATTATTATTATTATTATTATTATTCCTTTTATGATTAGTAGTTAATTGGTAAGAGAATAATTACTTGCTTAGTGGACAAGTAAATAATTGTCTAGCTTGTTGGGCAAGTTTAGGAGACTAAGATTAGGATTATTATATATTGTTCAACCCCGTGACTTTGATAGATGGTTAATTAATGAATAAAAATTGATATTGTTCTTGGTATTTTGAGACTGTTCTCAATTTATCGTCCCACTCGTACCCCCTTACATCAATATCCGAAGTAACTTTTCTCTGGTTACCTAGTTATCTGGTGGGTATATCCGAGATAATTTTTCTCTCTATCTGAAGTATCTTTTCTCTTTCTATACTATACGCTTTGTCATTGGCTTTCTACACCTGTTACATATTTTTAGTATATTTGAAGTATATGTTTAGTGTATGTCAGGTAATAATTCCCTCCCAAAATTTCAGTATATTAGAAAACATAATTTTTTCGGTATAAAATTTCACGTCCTCGTTTTTTTGGGTATACTTTTGCGTATATTTCCAGTAAAAAAAAAAGCTATAATTTTTTATTGTTCAGTATATGTTGTGTGTATATGGAGTATATGTTCAATATATGTTCAACATATTAGAATATTTGTTTGTATATGGAATATAAGTAAATGTTATAATATGTTTCTATATACTTTTATGTATAAAAGTAAAAAAAAAATATATATATTTTTTTTTGTGGAAGACTTGTTTTTCATTGCACATATACTGAATAAGTACTAACATAAACTCAAAATATACCACCTGGCGACTGCGTGAATTATAATATTACAACATACATTGAATATATACTAACATAAACTTAAAATATACTACCTGACGCTGCTTGAATTACAATGTACAAGTTGCGTGAATTAAGGAATTAATAAATGAATCAGTTATTATTTTTCTTTTCTCTCTCTTAATCAAGTCCACAAAAAGAGAGATGGAAGTTGAATATATATGGTAACTGCTATTGATGCAATCTCATAAATAAATTAGTTTCATTAGGTATAATTGAAAATACTTTCATATGAAGGTAAATTTGAAAATATTTGTATATCTGATATGAGGACTAAAAATTTCCCTTAAAGGATCATAATTTTGATTTGGGCCCCACAATTAAGGAGAATTTGGCTAAGGTGACTTCGGCAGAATATATTTCTTGAGAAGCGGGCAAGCAGCAGAGAAGGATTTTTACACATCCAAGCCGCCACACATACATACGGAAGAAGAGACCCGCACAGACAGAGGAAAAGAGAAGGAAAAGCATGCGCACTTGGAGACGGGGAATCCGGCAATCGCGGAGGGAGACCGCACCCGCACACGAAAGAGGATAATTCTATTTTCTTTCTTTTATTTTTATTTTTTATTTATTATGTTAGGCTATTTTTATTTCTAGTTCCGGGGATACGACTTGATGAAGTTTGATTAATTTTTTTGGTTGATAATTGTTGGTGGTACAGACCGAACGAATGTTAGTAAGGAAAAAAAGGGAATCGGATGCCTCCGGGATCGGGCCGCAGCCGAACGGATGGGAGAGAGTGAGCGAGATATGTTTAATCATTACAAGAGCTAGTCGTACTGCGCGCATTAAATGCGGAGATACATAAAAATCTCTTATCCGACGGCAAAGGAAAAATAGGGACGCGTGGCACGATCCGGACGACTCTCAGATATTGGGAAAAGATTATCAAGTACAATTAGCATTAAATGCTGAATGACTAATATCTAAAAATATCCTGTAAAATAAAATGTAAAAATCCCCAAGAGGGAAATGTAAAGTCTCTAAACTTCCTATAAAAGGGAGGGGAGGACATCATTTAATGCAATGAGTAAATGTTCTCATTAACTACCCTATAAGTCACGGATAGCCTGAGCATTCGGACCAGTAAAATTAAACCGAATCACATACATAAGTACTATTCGTGCAGACCGAACAGAGTACACATCTTAGTGTGCAGTTCGAACGCATTGTTGGTCATTTTTAGACATCAACAATTGGCGCTAGAGGAAGGGCTATTCCAGCATGTCAAAGACAACTTCATCATCATCAAGCCAAAGTCGCCGGCGAGACTCACCGGAAGAAAGGGAAGACCGGATAAACAACCCAACTACGAGGACGGACTACTCAGCCTTTTTCAAAGACCCAAATTTTGTTAAGGGAATATCAAACCTGATAACACAGATCCGGCCCTCTACGTCTCAAGCACCCAAAACCCCAGCCAAAAAAGACCTTACCAACACCCTCAAAGGCAAGGAAACGAACGTTCGTGAAGAAACCACCCGGTCGCCCAGGAGCACGAAGGAAAAATCCACCACCCGGACAGAAAATGAACAGACGGACGAAAGTCGCTCGGTCACGGACACTCAAACCCGAAACACCACCCGGTCGGTTTTCAAACGGCTGGGAAAAAACGTGGCCGACGACGACTTGAGGAGAACATTGACCAGAAGGCGAACGACTCAAGCCGAGGAAGACGAAATGAAGAGCCTCCGAAGAAGAATAGCCGAACTCGAAGCTCGACGTCCGGCCCAAAAACGACTGGCTTCCACCGGACAGGACCTGACAGAAGTCCCTCTCAAACGAGCCACGACAACCTCAAGGGCACGAACGGAATCCAGCCCAGC